CGTCAATATCAGTAGGTGTGTTCTCTTCGTTGCGAAAACGCTTGCAGCAACTTGCCTTGCAGCATTAGCACCTACCCTTGACCGTTTGAAATCCAATTGAGGCAAATCCACACCCACTCGAACGTAACCCAAGTTACCCACATCTAAACGAGGTATTGAGTCGACGCAAGGTTAGGAGCGTAGCAGTGCTTGCAGACCGAATCCTTAGCCATGGTGATGACATGGGGAGGCTTGACCGTGGAAGGACCACCTAGGCTACGTCACTAAAGTCTAGGATAGTTGACGATGATTCGATTGTCGGGGTGTATGGGAATTGGTTGTTGGCCGTAGACTAGACTTCGGCTTCTTTTGTCCGTTATTTATTATTACTATTGTTGTTGCAAAAGGGATTACTTTGTTTCAGTTCCGGGTGGACTATTGATATTATTTATTGAGATTATTCGTTGTTTTGGTTTTGGACGAACAACAGGTTTTTCTTAACTTATGGATCCGTTAGCCCACTGAGGGCAGACCCTTTACTTTGGAAACGGGTTAGAGGTACGAGTTGTTCCATTTAATTCTTGTATTTGTTGCGTTACGTTTCTTTACTAGGAAGAAGGCTGAATTGGGAGTTTAACAACGTTACCCCATGAGTGTTGTGAAATTCGGGGGCGTGCGAGGGAGTGTCTTATGACGGGCTCGAACGTGCAGAGGCTAGGACAGAAGGCCCCCTCAGCAGTGCCGACGCAGGAGGGTAACCAGAAGGCTCGAGTCTTTGCGCTTACTCGGGAGGAAGTGACGAATGCCGAAGCTGTTGTAACAGGTACTTCTATTGTCCTTAATCTTAGATTAGGAATGCGGGGTGTATGTCCCTATTCGTGCATTGTCTTTCAGGTACTGTTTTGGTATGTAATGCGCCTGCTTATGTATTGTTTGATTCGGGATCTAGTCAGACTTTTATTTCCACTGCATTTGTTCGTCAAACGAACCTTGAGTTAGCACCGTTAGGTTTTTTGTTGTTAGTATCTACACCGTCGGGTTCAGTTATGATTTCTAGCCAAATGGTGAAAGTAGGCTGGTTATCCTTTGACGGACAGAAATTGGGGGCAAGACTGATTCAGCTAGACATAAGGGATTTTGACGTCATCTTAGGCATGGATTGGTTGGCTACCAACCAAGCCAGCATTAACTGCTCAAAGAAGGAAGTCTCGTTCCAGCTGCCTTTTGGTTGGAGCTTTATGTTTAAAGGGGTTACAGGTGGGGTCCCGAGGATAGTTTCGGCATTGAGGGCCAGACATCTCCTACAGGGTGGTGCTTGGGGTTTTTTGGCAAGTGTCGTCGACACTCATAATGTTACACCTAGCATCGACTCCGTCCACGTGGTCAACGAGTTCCATGACGTGTTCCCTAAAAACCTCTCGGGGTTGCCCCCAGTTCGTGAATTGGACTTTTGCATTGACTTGTTTCTGGGAACAACCCCCATTTCGAAAGCACCTTACCGTATGACTCCAGCGGAACTCAAAGAGCTCAAAGCTTAACTGGAAGAGTTATTGGACAAGGGCTTCATTCGTCCAAGCGTGTCTCCATGGGGCGCGCCAGTGCTTTTCGTAAAGAAAAAGGATGGCTCTATGCGGCTTTGTGTCGATTACCGAGAGTTGAATAAGGTGACCATAAAGAACAGGTACCCCCTCCCTCACATCGATGATCTCTTTGACCAACTAAAAGGGGCAATGGTGTTCTCGAAGATAGACTTACGATCGGGGTACCATAAATTGAGGATTAAGGGAGCCGACATACTTAAGACAACGTTCAGGACTAGGTATGGGCACTACGAATTCACTGTGATGTCCTTTTGGACTTACTAATGCCCCAACGGCATTCATGGATCTCATAAACCGAGTGTTTAAGGATCTCTTGGACCAGTCAGTGATCGTGTTCATTGACGATATTTTGATTTACTCGAATTCAACAGCGCATCACGAAGAGCACTTGAGACAAGTTTTGACCGCTTTGAGGAGAAAAAGTTTGTATGCAAAGTTCTCGAAATGTGAATTCTAGCTGAAAAAGGTGGGTTTCCTTGGTCACATAGTCACCAGAGAGGGTATCGCTGTGGACCCAGCTAAAGTGGAGGCAGCCAGTAGTTGGCCAAGACCCCGCACAGTGACAGAAATTCGTAGTTTTCTTGAGCTGGTTATTACAGGAGGTTCGTCCAAGATTTCTCCCGTTTAGCAGCACCGCTAACTCAGCTTACCCGTAAGAATGCCACCTTCGCTTGGAGTGACGGGTGCGAGAACAGTTTTCAAGAACTAAAGGAGCGACTTGTCACGGCCCCTGTGCTGACCGTACCCAATGGAACAGGAGGCTTGGTGGTGTACAGTGACGCCTCTCGGAGAGGCTTGGGTTGTGTTTTAATGCAGCATGGAAAAGTCATTGCCTACGCCTCGCGGTAATTGATAGTGCATGGGCGTAACTACCCTACCCATGATTTGGAGTTGGCCACAGTAACGTTTGCCTTGAAGATTTGGAGACATTATCTTTATGGTGAAAGGATTCAAATCTTCACGGACCACGAAAGTTTAAAATATTTCTTCACTCATAGGGAACTCAACCTAAGGCAGAGAAGATGGCTAGAGCTGGTAAAGGATTATGATTGTGAGATCAATTACCATCTTAGTAAAGCAAACATGGTGGCTGATGTACTTAGTAGAAAAGCGACGAACGTAGCATCCTTGGTGGGGTACCATGGTCCAGTACTCGATGAGCTAGATCGGTTCGAAGTGGAAGTAGCAGTGGAGGATGTATTGTCAGTGTTAGCTCAACTCTCAGTTGAAGCCACTTTAAGGCAACAAATCATTGCTCCCCAACGGAAAGATCCCAGCTTAAACAAAAGGTTTCAGTATGGTCGGTCAAGGGGACTATACCGTTTCAAGCGATACGGCCCTTCTTTGTCAATGAAGGTTGTGTGTGCCAAGAAATTTTTCTTTAAGGAAGGAATTTCTAACCAAGGCTCATAACACCCCATTCTCAGTGCATCCGAGGAGTACCAAAATGTACAGAGACCTTAAGAAGCATTATTGGTGGCACAATATGAAGCAAGAAATCGCCCAGTTTGTTAGTAAGTGCTTGACGTGCCAGTAGGTGAATGCCTCAAGACAGAGGCCTGCCGAATTGTTGCAACCTTTAAGCATACCTATCTGGAAATGGGACAGCGTGGCTATGGACTTCATTACAGGGTTACCAAGAATAGTCAAAGGGTACACAGTGATTTGGGTGATTGTGGATCGATTGACAAAGCCTGCCCATTTCTTACCAGGCAAGGCCACATATTCAGTGAAGAGGTGGGCAGAGCTTTATCTGCAGGAGATAGTGAGACTACATGGCATACCAGTATCCATAGTGTCAGATCGAGATTCTCCCTTCACGTCAATGTTTTGGCGAAGTTTACATAAGGCACTTGGAACCCAACTTGACTTTAGTTCAGCATTCCATCCCAAGACTGACGGTTAGGTTGAGCGTTTGAACCAGATTCTAGAAGACATGTTGAGAGCATGTATAATAGACTTCGGGGGTTCTTGGGACAAGCATTTGTTTTTAATAGAGTTTGCTTATAACAACAGTTATCAGGCAACAATTGGGATGTCCCCATACGAAGCTCTGTATAGGAGAAAGTGCAGATCTCCAGTTCACTAGTGATGAGGTTGGAGAGAGAGTCCTGTTGGGACCAAAGCTGGTGCAAGAGACTAATGGGGCTATCCGAAGGATTAGAGGGAGGATGCAGACGGCCCAAAGCAGGCAGAAATGTTATGCCGATAATAGACGAAAAGAGTTGAAGTTTAGTGTCGGTGACCATGTTTTCCTTCGTGTGGCACCAGTGAAAGGAGTACTACGTTTCGGTAAGAAGGGGAAGCTCAGTCCAAGGTACATTGGCCCTTTTGATATCTTGGAACGCATCGGCCCAATTGCTTATCGGTTGGCTCTGCCTCCATCTCTAGTTGTGGTGCATAACGTGTTCCATGTGTCTATGTTGAGAAAGTATGTACATGACCCTTCTCACGTACTGGACCCTGAACCATTATAGTTAGATGAGACCTTGTGCTATGAGGAAGTACCCATAAAGATCTTAGCCAGGGACACGAAGGTGCTGAGGAACCGAACTATTGACTTGGTAAAAGTCCTGTGGAGAAATCACCAAGTGGAGGAGGCTACCTGGGAGAGGGAAGATGAGATCTCAGCCAAATATCCAGAGTTGTTTGCTTAGTGAACTTTCGAAGACGAAAGTTTTTGAAGGGGGAAAATCTGTAACGCCCCGCATTACTCAGGTAAGATTAACCTCTAGCCACGAGTTTTTAGTCGAAAATTTACTTTTAAGTATTTAAATTTTATTACCTTATTGTAATTGGTACGTGGTGGTGGTGAGTTTTATCCCTTAGTTAACGAAAAAAATAATAGAAAGTACAATTCTTTTACCYATGGGCTCTATTTGTCAAAGGGTGGGTAAATGGGCTTTTTCTTTTTAGAGGTAAAA